AAAACATCTTCCTAACTAATCCTTCAGTGATAGATCTCATTGGAACACTTAGAGATGATAGAGTTTTTTAACACTTAGAGTTTTTTTCCTAATAGAATTCCAGTGGCCATGAAAAGCCAGTTATATAGGCATTCCTTATTGATAATGTAATTATTGCTGCAAATGTGTGTGTGTTCAAAGGTCAGAGTTATTTCTAGTGGGAAGGCACCTTCATGTTTTACATTTAGGAAATTCTATTTACTCCCAGGTAGCTCCATATGGTTTTTGCTTCCAAGAAAAAGGCTACAACCTACAAGATAGGTCATCAAGTTCCTTCAAAAATCTTCAGTATGGATTTTCAGCATCTTCCTTTTAGAAAACTACCTTAAATGAAGAAAACTGGTGAAACAACTACTAAAATTACTGAGCAGCATGAGAAACTCTCTCAACTGAATGAGGAAGTTTTGGAGAACCACAAAGGTAAGATTACTCTATCATCATCCTTAAAGATTCCTAAATAAATGATTATCTAGATCATTTCCACTTTTGATTCAGACCCAGGCATGGACAGAAAAGCACTGGTCATTCTAATGAACGACTTCTTTGGAACCTTAAAGATATGAATACAATTCTCTTGGTCCTATTAGACCTTTCAGTAGTTTTTGATACCATTGACTGTGTTATCTTTCTGGACTGTCTGGGGATGGATTGGAGTGGAGCATTGTATATGGGAGATCAAAAGGGCATGGACTGAATGCTATTCTCTTCAGCAGCTCTTCACCATAGAACATCTTACCCCCAGAAATCAGCATCCTTAATGCCTCGACTATGAAAATGGTCTTGTATCATTATGGAGTATTCATATTTGACTATATATAATATCAGGCTGCTGGATTTTGTTGCGTTGATGCTGAGAGGGATATATTTTACTTTTACTTAAAAAAAAAACTGTATGGAGTATTGGGTTACATAAATCTATGTAAATGAATAAAGAAGCACCAGAACTAATGTAACATCTAATTCTATGCAATTAGACTGTATCAACACTAAGAAATATTAGGGAGGTTGACAGTGATTTGGGGACTCTAGCTTTTCCTAGGCAATAAAACAAAAAGGATCTTATTAAGAAGGATATCAAAATAAAGGCTATGTGTCACTTTTAGGACTCAAGAATCTGGTTAGAGACCTAGGATCTTTTATTCTGTAAGGACAGGAAGAGTGCTGGGAAGTCATTCAACAAGGCCGTAATTCAGGAGTTCAGAATCTAAGAGTAGTAAGAAAGTCCACATACAGCCCTCTCTGTCTGAGACATCCTTTAAAATATGTGTTTTGTGCTGAAACACAACCAGCATCATGGAATATTACAGACCTGAAATATTTGGAACTTTGATTTGCTTGTTTAGGCTTTTTTCTGCAGTTTCACCTGTAAGAAATACCACTAATGTTCAAAGAGAACTAGAGTTGTGTTACCAAGGTCAGTATGTGTAAATGTTGACTTTGGATTTTAATACAGCTTCTTGATTTACCTATTTTTAGGCTTGCCACATTACCCACAAATCTCACTGAACCAATGGGCAGAAGACTATGATGGAGATTGGAAATCTCACCTACGTTACAGAGTTCACCTTGGCGGGACTGACTAGCTGTCGCAAGATACAGATTGTCCTCTTCATGGTCTTCTTAATTGTCTACCTATTCACCATTCTGGGAAATCTGGTGATCATTCTGCTTGTATGGACTGAATCCTCCCTCCACACACCAATGTATTTCTTTCTAATTCAACTCTCTGGGCTGGAGATTTGCTATGTCACCTGTACTTTGCCCCAGATGTTAGTCCACCTTCATTCTGGCACTGGAGCCATCTCCTTCACCCGTTGTGCCACCCAGATGTATTTTGCTCTGAGCCTGGGAGGCACTGAATGTCTTCTCCTGGCTGCTATGGCTTTTGACCGCTACTTGGCCATCTGTCAACCCCTCCTTTATTCCACTACTATGGGCAAGTGGCGCCAACTGCAACTCTCCCTAGTTTGTTGGTCAGGTGGCTTCATCCTTGGTTCAATCAATGTAGGTTCTACTCTTTGGTTCCCATTTTGTGGCCCCAACCATGTTGATCACTTCTTTTGTGAACTACCAGCAGTTTTAAAACTTTCCTGTGCTGACACCCACATTGCAGAGGCTGCTGTATTTCTGGCATCTGTGTTGCTCCTGCTGTTTCCTGTTTCCATTATCTTGACTTCCTATGGACTAATACTTTGCTCAGTGTTACAAATGAGATCTATTTCTGGGCGCCACAAAGCTTTCTCCACATGTGCCTCCCACCTTATTGTAGTCACCATATTCTATGGTACTGTCATGTCTACATACATGATTCCACGATTGGAATCAGGTCCTGATCATGACAAACACATTTCTGTCTTTTACATGTTAATCACTCCCTTGATCAATCCCATTATTTATACCTTGAGAAACAAGGATGTCCATGGGGCAGTGGTCAAAGTGATGAGAAGATGGGGATTTGAACAAAGGATTTTTGTGAATTCTGTGGTGTGAATACTATACCAACACACTTCCCATTCTATGTTCTGTTCTTGTTGTGAATAGCCAGCCAGGATTCACAATACTGCAGCCTCTCTGCCAGTCTTAATGCCAGTGGATGTCTGATTTGGAATACGTAGTTTGTCTCTTGCATGGACTTTAGTGCCCTCAGAAGATTTCCTTCACCCTTCCCCAAAAAGTTTTTATAAGACAAAGGCAGGGCTATGGGGACACAGTAGAAATGTCTGACTTGGAAAAATAATGGAATGTGTAATCTCCTGGACAACTCTGATAAATGATTAATATTGCAAAAAGAAGGTAAGGGAGGTTTATAGGGACAAAGCAGCAGAGAACTGCTGCTCTGGGATTCAGGATTTCTTTAAGAACATGTTAAAATGTTAGTTAGATGTTACATTCAGATTAAATTAATTTTGTCTGTGTTAGAAGCTTTATTCTTATTTCTCTGCACAAGTACTGCATTCTATGTAATTTCAGACGAAGTTCAAGATTTATTTTTCTCTTCTTTAATTTCTTGGAAGCTGATATGTAACTTGAAAGCTGTCTGTCTTCCAAAATTACTAATTATCCTGGACCACCACCATCCTGTAGGCTATCCTGTGTTTTACAGGGACATGGCATGTATTTGTGTAAATTGGGCTTCGTTATAACATATCCTTTGAGTTATTTTTTTAAAAAAGAACATTTGATTTTATCTCTTGTAAGTTTCATTTCTCTCCCAAAGGTGAATGAAAAAGCTGAAACCACTAGTCACATGCCTTTAAAGCATAAACCCAGGAAGTTTCATTATATACATAATTTCATTATTTAAATTACAACCCCCCCCCCTTTTTTTTTGTAAGAAGGACAGTGCACGTAGCGAGCATCCTATCACTTTGACAGACTGGAGTTAATGGAAAATACCAAGTGAGTTTTATATGCCCCAAGATGGAAAGACTCTGAGATACTCACAATGGAGGAATGGCTAGCAGTTAGCAGAGATGGCAAAATTGACCTGTTTGATTAGAGAAAGGACAATAACTACATTTATTAGTGCCTGGAAACCACTTATGGAGTTTTTGGTGAAACGAGAAAAAATGAACTTGTGATTTATGGGTTTGATGATTAGAAAGGGTAGACTATGGAAAGAAGGAAATGATGTTCTAATCTTAGAGAGAGGGAGTAAGATATAAATGTACTTGTAACTGCTGTTAAGAAGATTGGAAGCCACTTCTGTATAACTTTTCCTCTCCTCTCCTCTCCTCTCCTCTCCTCTCCTCTCCTC